CCGGTCTCCAATTTACCCCATGGAACTGTAAACCTCCGGAGGAATCTATAGCGCATTTGTGCTTTGGGACTGGGTCTAAATTTAGTTCTGAGATTTCCCGTTACCCCCAAACATCCCCCCGGTGCAGGCTGGGGGGAACGCGATGCCTTCAGGGGGCTCTGGCAGAAATGGTACTTTTGACACTGTAAAAGAATCTATTGAAACCCACATCATTATTTTTCTCCAAACTGAGCCAAACAAATATATTTAGAGCTTAAGCCCAACCCAAGTGTGACAGACGCAGACAGGAATAAAATGAGTGAATGCGAGAAGCAAGACACTAGAAATAGTAGCTTGACCCAGATGAAAATGTTTGGTTTAATGAAAGTACCGTAAATCTGGGGTTTGGTCATTCGCATTTGTGCACTTAAGTATAAGTGGTGGAATCCTTTACTTTTCAGAAAATTACTTTCTATAGGCGAGTTTCATTGTTGACAAAAGCGCGCGTTGCATGCTGGGAATTATTTTGGTCGGCGGCAAGAAACATTAATTCAACATGATGGACGGAGTGAGAAAACACGTAAAGGGTATTGATCCTGGTTATTTATCCACTCTAACGGCAGAGGACCCAAGACCATTTGACCAGAAATTGGTCATAAGCATCGACGGAGCCAAAATCACCCTTTTCAACCCCGACAAAAGGTGGAACAAACCAAATTTCTGGTCAGAATCACCAACTACCTGGACAAATATTCACTTTGGCGATATCCACAATGACTTGGTGGAAACTCCTGGGCCATTCACAGCAGAAAAGATGAAAACCTCCAAGAGTCTCGATGTGTTGTTGAACTTGTTGGAGTCCACGGTTTGTTAGGATCTTCTACGTTTGCTCTGCAAATGTTTGAAAGCCGTTTAATTCACCGTTAGTGGTTCTTTTCACTCGGAATATGAAAAAGACATTTTCCTTTCTTCCGTGCTTCTATTTGTGCATCCGATAATGCAGCAGGAATTTACCATTATCGAGGGATAAATACGCGAGGTTACGCACTGTGTTTGACGCTATCGTATTTCTTGCCTCCGACCAAAATATTTCCCAGCATGCAACGCGGGCTTTTAATAACAATGACGTCAGCTGAAACTCACCTATACAATATCTTACAGTTAATCTGGTCCTATTTTCGAACAGTGTATTCATTTGTTGTGTCTGAGCAATTCACAGGTAAATTCCTTTAACTCCATGCAGTCCATAGTTTTGTCTCAATACTAAAGTTCAAACTTGATTTTGTTACTAAGAAATAGACTCAGTACTCAATACCAATTCTGAAGCCATGATGGTAATAAAAAACGAAACAAAGCAAAAACTTGTTTTTTAGGCAAAGATATAATGTGATTTTTAGCATTAAATCATAGTACTTTCTTTTCTCTTCCCGAGTGGTCTTGTATCTGTGTAATACTCTATTTGTTCTGATACAGTTCAAGATTATTCTAAAACTATTAAGGAAAGCTTCATTTGTGTCCTGTGAATGTGACTTTTTTAGTTTAGTTTAGTTTTAGTTTAGTTTATTGTACTTATTTAGTGTCATGCACCATTTAATTGGTGCCCAGTCCGCATGAGCTTATAAGACACATAAAACAAGAAGCAGACAGATCACACATCAAACATAAAGTGTCCTCTTACGGAGGTCCTGAACTTTCAACACAAACTGAGCCAACTTGAAAACATTACATTTAAACAAATCCTCCAGTCTCTCCTCATCAGACAGAGAAAACCAACAGTAAGACACATTAGACACAACTGACAGCGCAGGTCATGAGACAAAGGACAGTAGAACAGAAAATGCATTTCATTTTCAATGTCCTTTAAGTCACACAGAGCACAAGTGCACTCCTCTGGGACTGAGTGGAAGTGTCCCGTCTCCCAGAGTCCCACGCCTCAACTGAACACATACTGACCTCTGACCTCTGCTCAGGTTCAGGGTCACATACGACTCAGGTCCAAAACAGTCTTTAATTAAGATATATGTTCTTAATTTTGGTTTACATAAAATTTCAATGTAGTATCTAGGGGTGTGCAAAAATATCAAAATATTGATATATCGTATCGTTTAATGTGCTGATACAGTATCGATGTGGGCTGCTGTATCGATGTATCGTCAAGAGTATTTTAGGTATATTTTCACTAAATTAGTTTGTGTAAGAGCTACAGTTGTGTTGACATTTTCACTGTTTTGAGTAAAATGGATGTTTTTCACATTCACTTTCACAAACTTATTGGACTTTTAGTATTAGATCCATCATTTAGCCTTTTTTACACTGTACTGTATCGAATCGATGTGAAATATATTGTATCGAATCGTATTGAATCGAAAGCTCACTGTATAGAAAAGCATATCGTATCGTATCGGTAACTTCTTAACGATACCCAGCCCTAGTTGTATCAATACCTGCTCAATTGAGTATCTAGTTTCAATACTAGTTTTAGTATTAATTAGACTTTAGACTCCATCCATTTTCTTCTGCTTATCTGGGAACAGGTTACAGGGACAGCAGTCTAAGCAGGGACTCCCAGACTTCTTTCACCCCAGACACTTCCTCCAGCTCCTCAGGGGGGACCCCAAGGCGTTCGCTCTAGCATGTCCTGGGTCTTCCCCGGGGCCTCCTCCCAGTGGGACATGCTCAGAACACTTCCCAAGAGAGGCACCCAGGAGGCATCCGAAACAGACGCCCGAGCCACCTCAGCTGCTCCTCTCGACATAGAGGAGCAGCAGCTCTACTCCGAGCTCCTCCCATGTGACTGAGCTCCTCACACAATCTCTACAGGAGCGCCCAGTCACCCTGCGGAGGAAACTCATTTGACTGCTTGTATCCGCGATCTCGTCCTTTCAGTCATTACAAGTTAATTACTTGGTTTAGTATTGATTAGACTTTAGACTTTTATTGTTCATTTTCCCGCACACAGAGCTCATTTGACAACACAGCACAACAAACACAGATACATTCCAAAGACATTACAGTACACTCAGCTGGGCCCATTGTTCAAAAATGTAATGTGGGTGACTGGGGTCCTGATGGGGTCTTAAATGTCCGTAATATGCTGACCAAATGTAAGTGCATTACATAGTATCTGATTTTCAATACTTTTGACAGCCCTCGTAGTGTAATGTAAAAAAGAACTGAATGTCAGACAAAATAAGAGTGAAGAGTATCACCTTCCAAGCATTGTACAACACATTTTGTATAATGAGAACCATACAGAAGTAACTGCCAAAGGACACTATGTTTTGTCCAATCGCACATATTACTGGATGAGAATCAAGTGGAAACAACTGCAAGTGATTATCGCACAAAGTCATGGTTTAATAGAGAGAATCGACGGAAGTGGTCAGGGTTTCACTCATTGTTCAAAATCAGGTATTAATTTGAGAAATGCATTTTGTAGAATTAGAACCATACAGTGTAGGCGAGTTTCAGCTGACGTCATTGTTATTAAAAGCCCGCGTTGCATGCTGGGAAATATTTTGGTCGGAGGCAAGAAACACGGTAGTGGTCAAACACAGTGCGTAACCTCGCGTATTTATCCCCGATAATGGTAAATTCCTGCTGCATTATCGGATGCACAAATAGAAGCACGGAAGAAGGAAAATGTCTTTTCCGTATTCTGAGTGAAAAGAACCGCTAACGGCGAATTAAATGACTTTCAAACATTCGCAGAGCAAATGTAGAAGATCCTAACAAACCGTGGACTCCAACAAGTTCAACAACACATCGAGACTCTTGGAGGTTTTCATCTTTTCTGCTGTGAATGGCCCAGGAGTTTCCACCAAGTCATTGTGGATATCGCCAAAGTGAATATTTGTCCAGGTAGTTGGCGATTCTGACCAGAAATTTGGTTTGTTCCACCTTTTGTAGAGGTTGAAAAGGGTGATTTGGCTCCATCGATGTTTATGACCAATTTCTGGTCAAATGCTCTTGGGTCCTCTGCCGTTAGAGTGGATAAATAACCGGGATCAATACCCTTTACGTGCTTTCTCACTCCGTCCGTCATGTTGAATTAGTGTTTCTTGCCGCCGACCAAAATAATTCCCAGCATGCAACGCACACTTTTGTCAACAATGAAACTTTTTGTCCAGTCAGGCAAATTTTTTAATGAGAACCATTTATAACCAACTGCAAGTAATTATCTCAGAGCTTTGTCAGTCATGATCAGAGTGAGAGAATGAACTAATCAGGCAGGGCTAACGGTTAAAATTTAAACATGCACTTCACTCATGGATCAAAATCAGACGCAGGGATCTTTAAAAAGCTCTTTCATACAACTAGGACTTACTTTCAACTAACTTCATTGTTTGATCTGAGTAAAGTCAAAGCTATCATAAGGGTATCTGAATACTTTAACCAATAATTAGGAGCAATTCCTCATCATATAATCGGTAGAAACAGCTTGGAGAATATGATATTTCACTTTAACTGTAAATTAGCATTGAACTTCAAGAGTGTGATTTGGCTCAGAGTGATATATAACACTTACTGAGTGAGACAAAGACCCATTGCAAAAGCATAAGTGATAATTGAAATTAGGTGAAAATTGGATGCAGTACAATCATTATGACCTTTACAACTTCATGCGTTATTTTTTGCTTTAATTTAAATCTGTCTATAACCTGTGTAATCTCTATGTGCTAAAAAAAAACCTAATGGCTGCGGTTTTGCATTAGAATTGGCTTGATGAAAATTCTGAAAAAACAAAACCAAAAAAAAAACATTGCAAATAACTATGTAAAGGCGTAACTACTTGAACTTAAGTAAATAATAATAGATGAGTTATTGACTGGTGTTTTGGTTGGTGATGAAGTGGTTCATTCCCTCAAAGTGTTTCATCTGTACAGTCTTGGAGTAGTTGCTCTGAAAGGTCTTTTGCTTCATTGCACGGTTTTGAGGAGGTATTCATCTTCTTGGTGGTAATTCAGTGTATTATTATTATAAAAAAATGTAATAATGTTCTCTCTTATTTTGAATTGCAGGGACTGAAATACTCCAGGTAAAGGCCACCGATGCTGATGATCCCTCCACTGCAAACGGAGACCTGCGCTACTCCCTGGTCCGTGGTGGGGATGGAAAATTCCAGATTCACCATGAAACAGGTAATATACATTGGAAATCAACCAATATTCATCATTTAATGGCCGATATCGATACCGATTGTTTAGAAACCAGAGAAACCAATGGGGCTGATATGTAGGTCCCATTTAGGTAATTTTTCCCAAATTATTAAATTAAAATTTTGTACAAACTCATCCACAACCTTATTTTACTACAAACTGAGTAAAGTCCAGTATAGTCACATTTTTGCAGTGCCCTCTTTGGACTCACTGTAAGTGTTCAATTTATATTATAATATTTTTCATGCATATTTAGGCTGCTGGTTGGTCCAAATAAAATATTGGTCTCTGCTGGAGATTTATGACTGAAATTTGATCCACTAAAAAGGGCAAATATCATATAATAAGAATATATCAGTCAACTGATACATCGGTCTACCTCTTTTCTCATTTCTGTTGAGAAAGACAAAAAATGGGGGGGGGGGGGAGATGCAGTATGATGAATGCACACATGACCCTGTTCAGGCAAAATGCTGGTAATTCTCTGGTCATGCTGCATGTGTGAATGTACCTCATACATGTGTGAATGGACCTCACACATGTGTGAATGTACCTCTGTGAATGGAATGTGTGAATGTGTGACACATACATGTGTGAATGTACCTCATACATGTGTGAATGGACCTCATGTGTGAATGGGCCTCATACATGTGTGAATGGACCCTCATGTGTGACATGTGTGAATGAACATGTGTGACATACATGTGTGAATGAACGTGTGAATGGACCTCATACATGTGTGAATCATCATGTGTGAATGACCTCATACATGTGTGAATGGCCTCACCTCATACATGTGTGAATGGACCTCATACATGTGTGAATGGACCTCATGTGTGACATGTGTGAATGACCTCATACCTCATACATGTGTGAACGGGCCTCATACATGTGTGAATGACCTCATACATGTGTGAATGAACCTCATACATGTGTGAATGGACCTCATACATGTGTGAATGGACCTCATACATGTGTGAATGGACCTCATACATGTGTGAATAGACCTCATACATGTGTGAATAGACCTCATACATGTGTGAATAGACCTCATACATGTGTGAATAGACCTCATACATGTGTGAATAGACCTCATACATGTGTGAATAGACCTCATACATGTGTGAATAGACCTCATACATGTGTGAATAGACCTCATATGAGTCACTGTTTGCCCAGGCATGCTGAGCTGCCGCAGAGGGGACCTGGACCGGGAGAATGTGGCACAGTACGTTCTGGTGGTCCAGGCTCAGGACATGAGGGGCCTTGCTTCTGGAAGCACGGCCACCACCTCCGTCACCGTCAGCATCACAGACATCAACGACAACATCGCCTCCTTCACCACAAGTAAGTCTGGACTCACTGCTTTCGAAGTCGATTTTTTTCTCCCATGTGGAGCAAAATTTGTCTTGCTCCAAGTACAGACATTGATACTTTAACATGACATCACGCTTGGGGTGTTCTACGTGTATTGCTATGGCACAATGTTAATCAGTTATCATGGTGACACAATGTCCACATTAGCAAATATTGCAAAAAAACTTTTAAGATAGTCTGAAAACTCAAGAAAAGAAATACAAAATGGATTTAAGCGGCACATTTTCAGAAGCCTGTGATCAAAGGTTCTGTTTAGGTGTTTGATTTTCAACAAAATGGTGAGACTAACTGAGACACGGCTGGAGCTATCTTGTGACTGTAATTTTATGTGTGAGAGACTTGTTTAACAGCACAAATCTCACTTGTCGTAGTTCAAGCTAAGTCAGTTCTTTCTGGTCAGATTGTGCTAAAATAAAAAATACAAGAGAAAGCCAAGTTAGCAGCATTGTTTGGTTTAATTCCGTGGTGTTGTGTTCACAGACAATTTTGAAGTGAGTGTCCCTGAAAACCACAGGCTGAATCAGAAGATCACCACTTTACAGCTGCACGACAGAGACGAGCGGAGGCACAAAAACCCCCTGTTCTTCATCACTGGAGGCTATTCCCAAATGTTTGAGGTGAAACCCGACCAAGAGAGGGACGGCAGTCTCATGCTCAAACAGGTATCTGTATCTGTTCTAGAGGTTTTGCAGATGATATCACAATCTTTGAAACTCAGATTAAAGTCTTGAGTCATACAGTTTCAGACAGTGCTTTTCTACAGTTAGTATCAGGATCAGCCTTATCATCAGAAGAGCCTCTAGTCAGAAAATCCATGTTCAGGTAGTGTTACAAATTGTTACAAATACAATTGTATTTCAAGTTTTAAATATTTTAAAAAGTAAATATTAAAAGTAATAAATATATTAAACCATTAAAATAAAGCAAACATGTTTGAGGAAATAATGATTTGGGTGGAAATGTCTGTCATAAGTGTAACAGGGGTTAATAATTGTCTGATTTTCAGGCAACAACTTGAAAAATGTTCAGTAATTCGAGCTCTACAACCTTTATTTCAATTTTATTTTAAATCTTTTTCTTTTAATATAACATTGGTGGGTTTGTAAACCAACAAATTAAGTAATGCTGGCCTTAGCTTATGCTGTTATGCATGATTATGAGTTTTCCTGTCAATATCTCTAAAAATGTTGATGTTGCAGCCATTTTTAATTGGTTTACACCCAAAAGTTTACTAATTCTTCCCTGATATCCAGGGATTATTCCCTGTTGCTTTCATCAAATATACATTCAGTTGTTCAAGAGAAATGTTGCTGACAAACCAATAGAAGAGGTCATGATTTTCTGACTAGTGGGCTTTCTGACTACAGGGCCTTCTGACTAGTGGGCTTTCTGACTAGTGGGCTTTCTGACTAGTGGGCTTTCTGATGATAAGGGTGTAACCGTTAGTATCACACCCCTAAGAAATAAGGACATCAGCTGCAAAGTATCAACAGGCAGCTCTTGAGGTCAAAATACAGTATGTACGCTGTCTTCATCTAATTATAAATCAATCAAACTTTATTTCTATAGCACGTTCCAACAACCAAAGCTGACCAAAGTGCTGTACAACATTAAAACAAGATAAAAAACAATAAACATCATACAAATAGGTCAACAAAGCACATTACACCATTAAAATAAAGAAAGTGTCACTGGGCCACTAAGTGTTAAAAAACATTCTAAATAAGTAGGTTTTAAAGTTTGGCTTTGAACAAAGGCAGGTCAGGGATGGACCGTAACTCAACGGGCAAAGAGGTCCAGAGTTTTGGAAGTGGAAGTACCTAGCCGGGCTCAAGGCTAATCTAGAATCATGCGCCATTAAACTCGGCCTATAGGTGAGTTTCAGCTGGCGTCACTGTTATTAAAAGCCCGCGTTGCATGCTGGGAAATATTTTGGTCGGAGGCAAGAAACACGATAGCGTCAAACACAGTGCGTAACCTCGCGTATTTATCCCCGATAATGGTAAATTCCTGCTGCATTATCGGATGCACAAATAGAAGCACGGAAGAAGGAAAATGTCTTTTTCGTATTCTGAGTGAAAAGAACCGCTAACGGTGAATTAAACGACTTTCAAACATTCGCAGAGCAAACGTAGAAGATCCTAGCAAACCGTGGACTCCAACAAGTTCAACAACACATCGAGACTCTTGGAGGTTTTCATCTTTTCTGCTGTGAATGGCCCAGGAGTTTCCACCAAGTCATTGTGGATATCACTGAAGTGAATATTTGTCCAGGTAGTTGGCGATTCTGACCAGAAATTTGGTTTGGTCCACCTTTTGTCGGGGTTGAAAAGGGTGATTTGTCGTCCGTCGATGCTTATGACCAATTTCTGGTCAAATGGTCTTGGGTCCTCTGCCGTTAGAGTGGATAAATAACCGGGATCAATACCCTTTACGTGCTTTCTCACTCCGTCCGTCATGTTGAATTCGTGTTTCTTGCCGCCGACCAAAATAATTCCCAGCATGCAACGCGCGCTTTTGTCAACAATGAAACTCGATTATAGACTTGAATGGGCAACCATTTTGAAACTCCGGGGCTTAGCTTCACCCTGACGCCAAAACTCAGATCTGATTCCTGAAATTTGGTGAATAATTCGGATGCTCAGAATGCATAAGGTAAATGAAGAATAACTTTGGACCACTGCAAACGGTTTCAAATGAACTAGTTCTGTTTTTCATGTTTTAAATTTTGTTACTCAATTTTGGCTTGAAGTGTCCTTTTTGAATAGCTTTTTAGTAGAGATATTTCATAATGTTTTTAATACAAATGGACCAAATGAGCAACGATGCAGCCGTAAGAATACCAAGGACAGTTCTCAAATGAAGGCAAAAAAATGTTATTGACATTAGCTAATGGGGTCGTGTTGTTTGAAAATTTCGGTCTTGATTGCGATGTATATTCACTTTTTGATTCTGATGCTCTTAGCTGTAATAATCGTTTTATTGACCTAGAGATCAGGGTTGCATCATAAAAGTTTCAGTTCAGCCTAATGTTACGCCAGTGGAGATTTGAAGATGCAAAATACTAAAGTTAGTGTTCATCAAAAAGTATTCTGACACTGTCCACTGTAACAATTTAAAACAAAAGATTATATACAGTATTTTACAGGGATCATATTATGCTATTCTCTGATCTATGTTATAATGTTGTTTCCTCATCACAAACATACTTGGAGATATGTTTTGTTTAATTTACATGTTTAACTCATTAACCCTGCCTATTTTGACAAACTGAAAACACTCTGTTACACCTTATGATGTCATGTGGCAATACAAAAAGTGCTCCACTGTATTTTTAAACTCCAGTTCCTACACTTTCAATAGAACCATTTGGATAATTTGTGAACTAAAGGTAAAAACTAGCTGTTAACTTGAAAACTGACGCTTCATAACATCATAAGTTGGGACCGTTGGAGATGTAAACAGACTAATAATAAAAAAGTTAGTCAGACATGTGTAAATGAAACAAAACACAACTCCAGGTATGTTTTTTATGAAAAAAAAAGCTCAAATTTGTCCCGTCAATGTGATTTTTTGCAGTATCGATACTTGTTCAAATGAGTATCGTATATTTTGTACTATAAGACACACTGGATTATAAAGGTGCGATATCAATAATGTTGAATTCTCTCATCTATTATCATACATAAGGTGTACCGGATTATAAGGCGCATTAAGCGAAACAAACAGACGACATTTGAGACTGATCCCTTAGCCCAGGCGTCCACAATCTACTGGCAGATCGTGGCGTAATTCGACCAACGTTGCCTCCCTGTCTTGTTGAATGTTTATTATGAATGTGAATGTGTGTGGACAATTTAAGTTCGTTTTTTTTATTTTCTACGAGGACTCAAATATACACTGAGTAATAATGTGTTTAATGCAGCTTTGCGCACATTTGTTTACAAAACTTAAAACCACATGGCTCATTTGCATAAACTATAAGCGCTGAAAAAAAAAACCCTGCTCGCTCCTTGTGCGCTGATGCGGTTCAGCTTCTGTCAGACTAAAGACCGTAAATTGGGCTTCACTCCATGAGGCTCCTGACTCCAGTAGCCATAATGCTCCGACAGTCCATCAAGCGGCGACTTCGTAGCTTGCCAAAGTCATACTGAAACATTTTGACAGATTTTTGAGCGCCATGTACCACATAAAACCAGTTAGAGATCAGTAAGCACAACCAGAATTAATACATAAGGCGTACTGGATTTTAAGGCACACTGTTGATTTTTGGAGAAAATTGAAGGATTTTAAGTTATATGTTATGTTATATGTTATAGTCTAAAAATATCGTATCCAGTTTCAATGTTAGTTCTGACTTTCCATGCATTTGTGAACCCTACATGCAATCCAACAGTAATATTAAACTCCTCTTTTCTTTGCAAGTTTATTTTTATATTTAAAGGTGCATTGTGTAACATTTCTAGTGAAGGAGCCATCAAATGTTATTGTTTTGTCTGGAATGTTCCACAGTATAACTTTTAACAGCTCTCCCTTACGTTTATTCAGTTACAAGTGGTTTTATAGCTCAAAAAACAGATATTCTGACTGTGAGTGGGGTCGCCTCACCACAGATCTGACCTGTAACTTGGTCTGGTTTGGTCTCTGTAAGGATAGAAAGGTTTAATGCCATGAAAGATGAAACATTCCAGACAAAGCAGTAACATCTCCATGAAGAAAAGCATTTGCACGGACCCTCCACCGGAGAAGTTTGTGCACCTCTAAAAACCAAACTTGAGTACTTAGGATAGTTTGAATCCAAATATTTGGGCCATCCGAAAGAAGCTCAAATCAAGTGTGTAATAGCTTGCTCCAGCAGCAGCTCCAAATAGCGGTCCTCTCCTCTCTCATTCTCCACGGCGAGCTGTTTACATGCCAGAGTAAACCTGATATCGGTCACACGCCGGTGGAGGTCTTATTGTGGCTAAGCTGTTTACACATTGCCTTTGATAGCCTGCGCCGCGCTCCCCTGTTAGCGTGAATAATCCAGTTAGTTAGTCTCTACCTGTGCTCGCTCCTATGAACGCACAATGCAGCTATCTCAGGCATTCCGGGATCGGAGCGCTAATCCCGGCCGAGATGTGACAGCGAGAACAGCTTCCTCGCGCATATTTGTCGACATGAAAGTGTAAGTACTACTCCGAAAGACTGCGCCGATAAAACAGTCAAAGGAAGCTGCCGTGCCCCCGCTGTGTTAACATGTTTAGCGCGGAAGAAAGGGGAGGTGTTTTTCCATGCGCCTTTGCTGTCTTTTGGAGCAGGAGCTGTGACATTTCAAGTCTTATTACACCTGCGCTGTCACAGAATACACAGGTGTGAATGCGGCGGGTGAGCGGGGCACAGTGGGGAACAGGTAATGGATGGTGCAGTGATTGAGATCAATTGGAGGCCACTTATTGGATGGATACGAGCAGCTCCAAGTGTCAAAGCTGTTCATTCAATTTATAGACGAAGTGGAGTCATCCCGTGCTCCATAATAAGGTGATAAAAATCGAAAGTGTTATTGATCTGCTATTTTGGTAAATTGGCCATTAAGGGGCCCATATTTCGCAGTGTTCTGATCTATGTTCTAACGTCGTTTCCTCACCACGAACAGACCTGCTATGTTTTGTTTCATTCACACATTTAAAACATAAATCCAACATATTTTAGGCTGTGTTCTTCTCTCAAACAGAAAAAAACTGTTCCACCTTGTGATGTCATGTGGCAATATAGGAAGTGCTCCACTCTCTTTTTAAACTCCACACATCTTCACTAAAATTATTTGGATATTTTCAGCCCTGAAATTGCCAATTGCCAAGTATCATTATATTAGGCTACCTAGTGCCTCCACTCAATTTCATTTCTCTCCAGCGACTAGGTCAGGAATTAAAATACACTAGATGGTTTGTGGAAACCCCAGAAGTGCGAGTTTGGGCACCAGCCAATCAGGGAAGAGCCATATATTCAGTGTTGTTAACGATTCCCAAGATCGAGGATTTAAAGCCGGAACAAAGAGAATGTTTGGTGAATTTCATCAAGGGGAAAGACGTTATTGTCCTTCTTCCTACAGGATTTGGGAAAAGCCTAATATACCAGTTAGCCCTGTTAGCGGCGCATTACATATGTGACTACCAAATAGCAGTGATTGGTTAAATGAAAAAAAGTACCCGCCTACCGTCGAGTAAATGAATTCTAACACTGCGAGGTCAGATGGTTTTTACGAAGTGAAACCGACTGATGAATCAGGCTACCATTATATGACATCACAAGGTGGAACAGCACATTTTGAACTTTGGCAGACTTTTTTAGACAGACTAAAGAGTTACTCGTGTGAATGAAACTAAACATATGTTTTTGAGGAGGTAACATATAATGAACAGGGGTGGGTTAATATAAGTTTTTCTTCTTCCTGCTCCTTTTTGAGAAATGTGCTTTTCTGTTGTTTACAATGCATATGTAGTATGTATGATTATTGTTTCTCTCTTGGCACAAACTCGAAATAAAAACAAATCAATCAATCAGTTATAACATGGCCTCGCAGTGTTAGAATTTGTTCGCTCGATGGTAGGCGGGTGCTTTTTATCATTTAACCAATCACTGCTATTTGATCGTGACGTATGTAATGCGCCGCTAATCGGGGCTAACTGGTATATTAAACTTTTCCCAAACCCTGTAGGAAGAAGGACAATAACGTCTTTCCCCTTGATGAAATTCACCAAACATTCTCTTTGTTCCGGCTTTAAATCCTCGATCTTGGGAATCGTTAACAACACTGAATATATGGCTCTTCCCTGATTGGCTGGTGCCCAAACTCGCACTTCTGGGGTTTCCACAAACCATCTAGTGTATGAATGTTGAATGGAGGCACGAGGTGGTGCCAGCCTGGTTAGTGAAAATCATCATACACATTTTTTGGCACATCACCCACCCCGAGTGTTTTCACAAAACGGAACAAAAGAGGTGTATTCCATTCCAATGTAAGTCGGTTAAAAATGTCAGTAGATCTACTTAAAGCATAAACGTTCTATTTTTAAAGTAGCTAAAAGAATAAAGTAAAAAGAGGTTGCTTTGCTTTCACAGCCTATTCTTTTATTCTTATTTTTACATATGCTTTTTATTATGTGCTTATTATCCCAGTATACCAATATATTTATAACGCAACAGAATCTTCACATTAAAGAATTAGCTCATGGTTTCCTAGCAACAGCTATAAGTCCAAAAAAAAAGTCCATGTATTTATTATTTTACAATGTCACGTTTTTGTTTTGCCACATGCCTGGATGTCTGAATAATAATTTGTATTATTACGCTGTCTTCTTGTTTACACAGATTTTGGACAAATTAATGCATACAGACCGAGCATTGCCTAGTTTGTATGCATTTCTAACGTACAAGAAGTTTCAATTCATTTGCACTCCGCACTGCTATGACATTGAATCTGTTTGTTTGTCAGGATGAATAATGCAATCAGGAGCCGTGTTGTCTTGTTTTGAGTCTTTTGAATGTTTAAATATATTCTCTCCCTGGGCTGGTGGGATTTGAGCGCCTGTGGCAGAATGATGAGAGCACATTACTCTATAATTACTGCACAGTCAATCTCCTAATAGGACAAACTAATGCAGATTGGACATGATGTAGAGTGATGTTTGTGTTTGTGTTTGTTTTCTTTCAGTCATTGGACTACGAGACCAGTTCTGAGCACAAATTCACCGTGGAGGTACGCGAGCAGCTGGCAGTGCGCACTCCCGAAAACAGCCAAACCGCCATCACCACGGCAACGGTAAATATATCACTGTGTAACAAAACCAAAATCCGCACGTCGCGTTTCAAGTCACGCGCAGTTACGTGCATCTGAGTTACGCTACAAACTTTATGAACGTATCTGCGCTAATCTGGAGTCAGTTTTCATCAAATAAAAAGTGGTGTAGAGTTTGAGACACGAAACACTGCGCTGTGACACCCAATTTCTCCACAATATGCCTTCGCAATAACATGCTTCGTAAATATGGGCGCTTCTGATTAACGGAACGGTCTGTGCACCTTCTATGAGAGCACACGGGAACAAGGAGTGGGAAGGAAGGCGGACAGACGATGGTAGTATAATAAGATCTTATGTTGTGTTCTATTGAATGTCGGTAGTCGATAAATCCGACTCAGTTCTCTCGACATCCGTTGTAAATGCGTTTCATTACAACAGTTGGGGAAAATATGGATGACTGAGAAAGTTTCACGTCCAACAGACTGCATCAAACTACCCCCAGTTTGTGTTTCGGAACCCCCGACATTCCACTTTCTTGAGTTGGAGGTTGTTTTTTCTCGAGTCAGAATGTGCCATTATTGCAGATCCACGATTGTATCTAATCCGAGGAGCCAAGATTGTTGCCAAAACTCAGAAAAGCATAGGTTAATATATTTACAAAGCCATACTGGGGAAACTAATCTCTTTAAAGGGGCAGTCTGAAATTTTGGACATCGGACCTCATTTCCTAGTGAGCCAGAGTGTTGGAGACGTACGGAGAGACTTTTTAAAATATTCCATCCAGTCCTTGTATTTGCAGAGGTCACTGGTGCTAGGCTAGTGCATGTCAATGGCCATAGTTAGCCTGCCACTAAAAACAGTTTTACCCACTCCACAAAACACCTGAAGCAAATCTATTATTACGCCAGACTGTCCATGTGAATGTCTGTGTTGACAGAATGATTTTAGAAGTTAAACCAACCTTACATTTGAAGGATTTATGTTCCTGATAGAAAGCTTGGCATCGGCGGACTGATTCCGCCTAGTGCCTATCTTACCGGCAAAGTACAATTCCCCTGCTGCTGAGAAAATAGTCCCTCAACATGCGACGATTCATGAGATGCAAGGTTAGTTTTATTTCAAACATTATTCTATCAACACAGACATTTACATGGACATTCTGGTGTAATAATAGATTTGCTTCGGGTGTTTTGTGGAGTGGGTAAGACTGTTTTTAGTGGCAGGAGAACTATGGCCATTGACATGCACTAGCCTAGCAACAGCAACCTCTGCAAATACAAGGACTGGATGGAATATTTTAAAAAGTATCTCTACATGTCTCCAACACTCTGACTCACTAGGAAATGAGGTCCTATGTCCAAAATTCCAGACTGTCCCTTTAATATCAGCTCAGGTAGTTACCGGTTTTGCTCTATTTGCTTTTCCTTCGCAGCTCCATGGTCTTGGAATCATTTACAAAAAGATCTTGAATTGGAATCTGTGGTGTCACTTGATAAGTTCAAGAAAATAGTAAAAGGTGTCGTGACCGAGACTTGTGTGTGTTTTTCTTGAGATGCAAATGGTTTTATAATGTGATACTTTACTGTAAACAACTAAGGAGTTCAATTTTAGAGTCAGTGTTGTTAGCTCCTCCCTTCAGACAGATACAGTGACTCAGCAGAACCCTGTCTGAACTGAAGAAGTCTCAAAGCTTACGCCAACCTTCATTAAAACTTAAAATTAAATAAACAACAATTAAAGAGAGGTTATTTTACTTTACTATGGAGTATTAGCTGCTAGCACATAACATCTTTAGATCACCATGTAAACTTTTATTGTTTTGAAAATGCTATATTCAAAAACAACATATTAACACGTTTTATAAGTTTTTGAGTCTCCCCTCCTTTTGCTCCCCAAGTTAAGTCACTCCCCCTTCAGAGCGCTATCACATTACAATCAGCGTGCTAATGAAACTACTGCACATCGCATTAGCATTAGCATTAGCATTAGCATTAGCAGTGATATACAAAAACCTGCCTTTATAAACTGTCTAAATCTGGACGACTAAGGGGTTACACATTTATTTCTGTATTTGTTATGTATTTATTCATTGGTCTGTGGTTCCTGGACAGGTTACCATAAGGGTCACAGATGTGGACGAGCCCCCTGTTTTCTCTCCGCCCACTTACAACTTCACTGTTCTGGAGGAAACCATCGTGCAGAACATCGGCACCATCTCAGCCACCGACCCAGATAAGGCTCGCAACATGATACGGTAGGTTATGAACAAGAATTTTATTATATCATCACCAAAATAAAATGTACGGGAACATCAGGAGAGCACTTTAAAGTTCCTGTATTACAACAAAATGGACTCTTGTGAGCTTTAAGCCATGTTAGAATGTTGTTACGTCATCAAAAACAGACCTAGAGTTGTGTTTTGTTTGATTACCACATGTTTGAGTAATCCTGTATTAGTCTCTCTGGATCCGTGTGTCTTTCATGGATTCGTATTTCAAAATAAAACAAAAAATTTGAAATAAAAAAATAATAATAAATAAATAATAATAATAATAATATTTTCTTCATTATTTGTCTCCAAAATCAAAATGAATAACGATTAGTTTTTTCAGATTTGCAATTTTGTGTTTAAATGAATAATGGAAAACAAATAATGTTTCATCCAATTTTGACCCTTATGGACTGAACCAGGACTAACCCAGAACTGATCCCAGAACTGAACCAGAAGGACTAAACCAGGACTTAACCAGGACCGAACTAGGACTAAACCAGGACTAAATCAGAACTGAACCAGGACTGACTGTCGGGACGAGCCCAGAAGTGCACCCGCGTAGACCGTCGGGTGACCACAGGTGAAGAGAGCTAAGCGCAGCCGTCACCTGATCATGCTTTACGGACACCCTGCTCCATGGGACCTGGTTTAGTCCTGGTTCAGTCCTGGTTTAGTCCTGGTTTAGTCCTGGTTCAGTCCTGGTTCAGTCCTGGTTCAGTCCTGGTTTAGTCCTGTTTAGTTCTGGTTTAGTCCTGGTTCAGTCCTGGTTCAGTCCTGGTTCAGTCTGTCTGTGACTCAAAAGTCCAGCATCACAATTTAAGTCACGGAAATGGGAAACGACTGTTATCCGTTTTTTCCATTATTCATTTAAACACAAAATCAGAAACTGAAAAAAAAAAAAAATCATTATCCGTTTTTTCATTTTGGTTTTGGAGACAAATAACGAAAAAAATAGTTGTTTGGTTTTTTTTTTCTTATTTTTGGTTTTATTTCGAAAAAAGAATGAATGATAGAGAGATTTTTCTGCATCTCCAAAGCTCAAAATGCTGTGTTCCACTTTGTGATATCTAGTAGTGGTAGTTTTCATGTTAACAACTATCTTTTACCTTTTCTTCAATGGAGATGGTGATTTTTGATCCTAATGAAGTGTAGTGAAGGTGTATTGAGTTTAAAAACACAGTGGAGCTCTTCCTGTAATACCACATGACATGAGTGTTTTCTGTTTGAGAGAAGAACTCAACCTAACCTAGTTTTTGGCCTCATTTGAACCACTTTACTCCTCAGAGAGACAGTTGTATATACCGTTTTTGATTACTCACAGTACGGCGAAAACCCTAGAAGCACAACAACACACATAAAAAATACCACCACTGCTTCAAACTAATCGCCATATTGTTTATCACTTTTAGATACTCCATCTTGGACCCGGACAGCCCGTTCTCCATCAACCCCAGGACGGGGGTGCTGTCCACTGTCCGGCCCCTGGACCGAGAGCTGGAGGCCACACACATGTTTCAAGTGAAAGCGCGGGAGGAGGGGAGCGGTAAGTCACTACGAGCAACGCAGCTTTTATGAATTCACTTCCTCAGACAATAGATCTTGACGCTCCCATTCAGAGCATCTGCTTTCTGTTCACAACAAGTCCGCATTTATTATGGAAACCGAGTGGAATGTATTATCAGTTTTTTTTACAAACGACTCACTCCGTCTCAGCACCTGGAAGCACAGACGAGGACAGGACCTGCTTTGTTCTATCAATATTCCTCAGATCTATAAAGGGGATTGTTAAAGGTGCATTGCGTTACTTTTCTGGTGCTCCTCTGTCGCTACGGAGATGTTAGTGCTTTGCCTGGAATGTTCCATGGTATGATGTAAACAGTGTTGGGAAGGTGACTTTTAAAATGTATTCCCATACAGATTACAGATTACATACCCCAAAATGTAGTTTGTAAAGGAATCCATTAAATTACTTAAAGTGAGTAACGTAATCTGAATACTTTGGATTACTTGATTTGCTGTAGAGAAGCAAAGACGAGGAAATCTTCACATAAGAAGTTTTGTCTGCTAAAAGAAAATAAAAAAGCACAGTCTTTATTAAAAATATTATTGATAGAAGAGGAGGAAACACGGTCCACCCAGCAGGGTTTAGTTAAATCCTGTTTTAGTCCTGGTTTAGACCTGATTTAGACCTGGTTTTAGTCCTGGTTTAGTCCTGATTTAGTCCTGGTGTAGTCCTGGTTTAGACCTGGTTTTAGGCCTGGTTTAGTCCTGATTTAGTCCTGGTTTAGTCCTGGTTTAGACCTGGTTGAGACCTGGTTTTAGTCCTGGTTTAGTCCTGGTTTAGACCTAGTTTAGACCTGGTTTTAGTCCTGGTTTAGATCTAGTTTAGACCTGGTTTAGACCTAGTTTAGACCTGATTTTAGTCCTGGTTTAGACCTGGTTTTAGTCCTGGTTTAGTCCTGGTTTAGACCTGGTTTTAGTCCTGGTTTAGACCTAGTTTAGACCTGGTTTTAGTCCTGGTTTAGTCCTGATTTAGTCCTGGTTTAGACCTGGTTTAGTGTACGGCAATGAGTGGAATTACTGAAAAAAATAAAAATAAATAAAATAAAGGAATATAGCCCAAAATGTGAAAACAGGATCATACCACTGTGTAATCCATTTATTTCAATAAAGTAACTGTAATCCAATTACCACTCATTAAAACAGTAACTGTAACTGAATACAGTTACTCATAATTTGTACTCTGATTACGTAACTCCGGTACATGTAATCTGTTACTCCCCAACACTGGATATAAAATACCTCCATTGAGCTTTATTCATCATGAGTGTTTCTGTTGCTCAAAAACACAATCATTCTCTCTGTGAACAGGGGCAGTTCTCCACAGATCTAATCTGTAACGAAGCCTATACTTGTCTCCCTTGAGATAAATTGCTTTATTCCAGACCGGGGCGTTGTACAGTTCCTGGACCACATATGGCCTTTTGTTTGACTCTGACCGGCCCATTTAAACTAATTTGGGATTACAAAATAAACATCTTTTATCATTTTACCTCATGCATGGACTAAAGCTGCATTGCTTTTATTTTAAAGGTGTTTTTTTAATAACATTTTTTGGCAACTTCACTTTTTCATTGCTTAGTCATAATACTCTTACCCAGGGGTCTCCAACCTTTTTCCTCCGGTGAACTACTTTTACAAAACAGAAATGCCAGAGAGCTACTCGTTTTAATGGCCGCAAGAAACTGAGACGATTATAAGAAAGGGTGAGCCTTTAGCTCCAGTTAGATGCCTATAAAACAGGGGTCTTGAACCTTTTTCCTTGGGTGAGTTATACCTTTACAACACAAAAATTTCACAGAGCTACTCATTTTAGCCATCGCAAGAAATAAAATAAACATAAGAGAAACCTAGATGGAATAGAGTTAGATAAAACAACATAATCTATTATTTATTTATGACTGCACAAAGTCAGGCATCAAAATGATAGATTTATAATAATACTAGGTGTTTAATTCATCAAGTTTTAGTTATTCAGAACAATATATGTGAATTCACAAATCATTTGGTGAACTATTTGGAAGAGGGTGGAGAGCTTCTGGTAGCTCCTGAACTACAGGTTGGAGACCGCTGCTCTTACCAGTCTGACCAGCTCGTCAAAACAAGGTTATTTACTGCTTTTTATAAAGAAATACAATTAATATTATATGGAATTGAGTTAAGCATTTTGGTCTGCCCCTCCACAATATTTTCTGTTTCTCGTGTGGCCCCATGGTCACCCCACCCCTGGTTCATTCTCTACCATGGAACATTCTAGACAAAGCAATAACATCTGCATAGAGACAAGCAAATGATGGACCCTCCACCAGAAAACTTGCACAATGCACCTTTACAAGAATCATGAAGCATCTTCCATTATAATACATTAGCAGGCACTATACTAAACCTCTTCAAGCGTGTTTTTGAAGAGAGAACGGCGTTATAATGTGGGAGAAAGAATGGTAGAAAAAAAAGTTGATTTTGCATAATACTAAAACTATATTAAAATATAATCACTAAACTTTATTGTTTACAGATATGAACCAGGAGCTCTTTTCCATTTTAGGAACAGAAATTTCGTTACGGACAAAATAGTGAAATAGAAACACCAGGATCATGCAGAGCAGGTTAATATGAACATTTTAAAGGGACAGTCCGGAATTTTGGACATAGGACTTCATTTCTTAGTGAGCCAGAGTGTTGGAGATGTGTGACACTTTTTAAAAATATTCCATCCAGTCCTTTTATTTGCAGAGGTCATTGGTGCTAGGCTAGTGCATGTCAATGGCCACAGTTAGCATGCCACTAAAAACAGTCTTACCCACTTCACAAAACAATTATGACACCAGACTGTCAATATAATTGTCTGTGTCGATAGAATAATTTTAGAAGTCAAACCAACCTTGCATTTGAAGGATTTATGTCTGAGCTGCAGCAGCGAGTTGTACTTCCTGATAGAAAACTTGGCAGCGGTGGACTGATATATGAGAAAATAGTCCCTCAACCTGCGATGATTCATGTGATGCAAGGATAGTTTTATTTCAAACATTATTCTATCAACACAGATATTTACATCAACAGTCTGATGTAATAATAGATTTGTTTAGAATGTTTTGTGGAGTGGGTATGACTGTTTTTAGCGGCAGGCTAACTATGGCCATTAACATGCACTAGCCTAGCACCAGCAACCTCTGCAAATACAAGGACTGGATGGAATATTTAAAAACATGTCTCCACACGTCTCCAACACTCTGGCTCACTAAGAAATGAGGCCCTATGTCCAAAATTCCAGACTGTCCCTTTAAGACCAAAGTCAATGGAGCCAGAAGTGCCCCCATGTTCACTTACTATTTGGAACACGGTGGCTAGTGCGTTAGCTTTGTCGATTTATATATACAGTCTATGATTCAAACTTTTTTCAAAATATCTTATGCAAAATTTTAATTGCTTATCCAGTTTTTCCAAAGTTTCTACAGTGGTGGGCTCTTCTCCATGCTTGTCTCCATGGTAATACTACTTAATTTTGTTTGGAATATTCCAAGTGTGGCATTAAAATCATATGTCCCGCGAATACCTTAATAAATTTGCATTCTTACTGTGTGCAGAGTCAATTCTCTTCATATTTGTCATGTAACTCGACTTGGAGGCATCACCTGCTCCAAACTCCATGGAATTTAATGCTATACTGTGGAATATTCTAGGCAAAGCAGTAACATTTCCACTGAGACAAGCAGGTAGCACACTCTCCAGCATAAAGGTTACACAGTACATCTTTAAATATCTTTCATTCTGCCTTTTATACGATCGAGCATTTAGACCTAAGCATTGCGTTTGCTTTCACATAATTCTTGTCTTAGGAGCAGTCTGTTTTGAAGCCTGCCTTAATGTTTTTGGAATAGAACTGCGCACTGCCAAGGTCCCTGTATACAGTGTCTCTATTGAGCTAAAGATAGAGTTCAAGAAGACGTACTCGCAAAAGAACATCAATGTAAAGCAGACGTGAAAGCCAGTGTACGGAAAATAGCCTCTTTAAATCTTCAAGCCTGACTTCATCCTCAAAACCATCTTTTCAGCACAAAGTGTATTATAAAAGTCTGAGAGGAACGTGGGTGGTGCTTATAGGAAAGATCTTAGCAATGCATCAAGAATAACTTATAGTTCTGAGTATTAAAAAAAAATTATAACAACATTTGAATATCGAATAACTTTACCAATAGTCACTCACATCAGGTTATTTTAAGTATTTATGAGCTTTTATAACATTGTTCGCTCATCAAAAACATACCTGAAGTTGTTTTTTTTGCTTCATTCACACTTGTTTTGTAAATTTTTTTTATCCAAAGTTGTCTTCTCTGAGCTCTCAAAAATGCTCTGTTTGCGTTTTGACAAGATTGTTGCGTCAAAGGTAAAAATCCAGACGTCTCCTGCAGAGTTTTTAAAGGTGCATTGTGGAGGGTCCGTCAAATGCTTTTCTTCATGGAGATGTTATTGCTTTGTTTGGAATGATTTACCTTTCAATCATCATGGAGACCAAACCAGACCAAGTCAGATCTTTGGAGAGGCGACCACGCTCACAGTCAGAATACCAGTTTTTTTTTTTTAGATATTTTTGATAAATAAAACCACTTATAATTGAATAAATGTAAGGCAGAGCTGTTTAATCTCAAATTGTGGGACATTTTAACCAGACCAATGACATATCCATAGAAACAAGAAAGTGACGCAACCACAAACGAAAAGTTACACAGTTCATAAACTGTCATCGGACACATTCTGTGATCAACTGACTGGGAGAGATCGCTAAATTACTCAAAGATACATGGATCTTAAACCTCTTCAGGCATGATGAGTTTTTGATGAGGGAACAATGTTATAACAAAAAACAAAAAAAAAGAAACTCTTATATATATAATCACAAAGCTTTATTGCTTACAAATATGAACCAGACTGTTGCTTTTTGGATCTGGTTTAGTCCTGGTTCAGTCCTGATTCAGTTCGGGTTTAGGCCTGGTTCAGTCTTGGGATCTATCCTGGTTTAGTCCTGGTTTAGTCCTGGTTTACTCCTGGTTTAGTCCTGGTTTAGTCCTGGTTTACTCCTGGTTTACTCCTGGTTTACTCCTGGTTTAGTCCCTGGTTTAGTCTGGTTTACTGGGTTTAGTCCTGGTTTACTCCTGGTTTACTCCTGGTTTACGCCTGGTTTAGTCCTGGTTTAGTCCTGGTTTAGTCCTGGTTTAGTCCTGGTTCAGTCCTGGTTTAGTCCATGTGAGGTGCAAAAGTCCGGCATTGCAGTTTAAGTCAGGTGGACCGGAAACAGACTTTTAGTTTTTTTCGTTATTAATTTAAACACAAAACTGAAAAAACTAATCGTTGTCCATTTTTTCAGTTTGGTTTTGGAGATAAATAATGAAAAAAATAGTCTTATTTTTGGCTTGTTGGTTTGATCTTAAAGGTACACTGTGCAACTTCTCCATGATTGTCCCCGTGGAGATGTGCCTAGAATGTTCCACTGTATGGTCATAAACTTAAGAATCTCCATGGAGACAAGCCAAATTACAGGTTAGATCTGTGGAGAGGCGATGCCATTGACAGTAAAAATGTATGTTTTTTAAGATATTTTTGAGCAGTAAATAACACGTGTAGTTGAATAAATGCAAGACAGATTTGTTTTTGCCATACTGTAGACAATTTAAACCAAAGCATTAACATCTCCATAGCAACAAACAAGTTGCGGACCTCCAGAAAGTTACACAATGCACCTTTAAGCAAGACAATGAGAGAGTCTGAAATTCAACAATTCAAACTTTAACCAAGAGTGTACAAGAGTATATCCTTGGGCAGGTTACATTACCCTTTTTGTACCTCGATTTATGGAACACTAAATTTGAAAAATGTTTTGACTATTTCACAAAATGGCTGCCCTGGTAAGACACATACATTAGGAAAAGCAGCAGCAAACCCCTTACATCTCACTATGTCCTTTTTATGTTGTTTTCAAGTTTGGGAAAAATTCATTTTAGTTTGAGCCATTTGCAAGTCTCGTTCTAACACATAGTCATTCATTTATGGTTTGACTTTGCACATCAAAATGCTTTATCACCATTTAGGATCCACATAAATCACCTTAATACCTGTTTTTACGAGTGTCTTTGCGGCGGAAATCGTGGAACATTTTCCTCGGGTCTCTGGCCAATAAAAAGAAATATACAAAGCAAAGAAAAACAATCCAGACGTAATTTATCTTGTCTCTCGGTAAGCCCCCCAAATTCACCCCAAGTTTTCTCTGCTGACTTCATTCTAACGGAGTGGAGACAGTACCTTTTATGTAGTCACTATATCATAAAACAGTTCCACAAAGAAGGTTAGTGCAAGGTTAGTGAACTCGCTGTACAAGGTTAGTGCACTGTCTGTCCCTGCTTACACCCTGCTGTTGCCATAGCGAATAAACAGCTCATATTATGCTATTTTCTGATCTGTTATAATATTGTTTCCTATTCAAAAACATACTTGGAGTTGTGTGTTTTGTTTCATAGGCAAGGCAAGTTCAAGTTGATTTGTATAGCACAATTCGTCCACAAAGTAATTCAAAGTGCTTTACAGAAGAAGAAATACGTTAAAATCACAATAGAAATAAATAGAGAGAAGAGTGCGGAATGAAAAATTAAAACCTTTTAGACCCGTTTATACTGAAACGTCTCACCGTATCACCATATCACTGTATTGGAAACGATCTGCCTCCAGACACGTCGTTTCTGTGTCCTCAAAAGCCTTCCCTATCCACACAGCTTTGATCACATTTGTTTACGTTTTACAGAAACGAAACTTAAAACCGCATGGCTAATTTGCATAAACTGAGGCTCAGAAAACAGCTCGCTATTGTGCGCTGATGCGGTTCAGCTTCTGTCAGATTAAAGGACACGACTTATATGTATTCTTTCTGTGACAGAGGGGTGTTCTGCTGATGGTGAGTCCGTTCTGTGCTTTTATTGCGTACGAGATAGTTCATATTAACCTTTTCAGAGATTACTAAATAGTACAGCATTATTAACTTTGTATAACTCTATAATTGTACCTTATCTGATGTACTGTGTGGAAATTTGGGGTTCAACATGTAAAACTTACCTACAACCTTTATTTATTTTACAAAAAAGGGCCTTGAGAATTATCACCAGCAGTCATTGTAGAGAGCCATCCAACCCAATATTTGTTCAACTTAAAGTGTTGAAAATGCAGGATATGGTTGACTTAAGTCTCCTCAAAGTCATGTATAAAGCAAAGTGTAATTTATTACCTGTAAATATTCAAAAACTGTTTGAGATGAGAACAAAACACTACAATTTAAAAGGAACCTACATGTTTAAAAAACCCAGATTCAGAACCAAGGTTATGGAGCGAAGTGTCGCTGTGAAAGGAGTTCACTTATGGAAGAGTCTTGACAAAGAAATAAAAGAATCAAGTACAATGACGACATTTAAAAAACATATAAAATCGAATGCACTGTGTCTGTATGAAAAAGAAAACTAAGTTGTGTATAATAATGAAGATTTACTGTTTGCAATTGATCAGTAATTGTGCCTGAACTGATATGGAATGTTTAGTGATGATCAGTGTTGATGTTTTGTCTTGAAAAAGGAAAGGGGGGCAGATAACATAAGATTTTTTCTTCTTTCTGCTCCTTTTCATTCATTTCTTGTGTGTTTGATGTTGTGACACTGTAGATGTCTTTTTATGCTTTATGAATGAATGAAATAAATAAATAAATAATTAAAAAAAATATGTTTGCAGGTCGTACACATAGACCATTTATATGAATGGACATACAGTATATTCTAGCCTCTTAGAGTTTTGGTGTTGAATTACTTCGCGGCGAATAGACCTACATCAGCGTATCAGTGTTTTCAGGCGTCCACACAGTGCCGGATCAGATCTGTACTCAAATTAATTTGTGGGAGCTGGCGGCACCAGATCGTTCCGTTTTGAGTCAGATTAGTATGGACGAGCACTGCATCCACAACAAAAACAACTCAAATACATAATTAGTGTGGACGGGGCCTTAGTTCTTCTCTCAAACTGAAAACACTCTGTTCCACTTTGTGATGTCATGGAGTAATTGCTCAGTTTCAGATGTTCACCAAAAGCAGAAAGTAAAAAAATTTACCTTTACCTTTACCATTTACCTTCGTTGATTCGGTGCCAAAAACTGTGCAGTCTATTGTGGCTGCAACTCTTTTATTTATTTTTTTCGTGTACCAAAAGTGGTGTGTCACAAGTTTATAAAAACAGAAAAAGATGACAAAAGTGGATCGACAATGTCCGGCTTAAAACAAGAGGCGGGGAAATGGACAATGCTCGAATTTGCAGCGACCGCTTTGTAACATAATAACATAAACTAATATTTTCAACATTTCTTGGACAATTATTCAGAATGACAAACATCGTAAGTGACAGATAAACTGTTGCATTAAAGGTCCTAACTTGCCCTAAAAAACTTTCTGTGGTGCAAATTTTATGAGCTTACTGCTGTAATTTGTCATTTTATACCTTTTTATAAACCCAACCAGATTCAAAATAGTTGTACGCCTCCAGAATTTCAAAGGCTTTCATTTGACTCAGGGTAATACGAGGTCTGCAGCACCAGATCATTTATTATATCCATCACCTCAACGCCGCAAATCCTCGAAATTGTGTGAAAAGTCCGACTCCTCCATATCGTACGGATCATAACCTGTATTTAGACTTATTTTTTTGCGATAGTGGGTCTGTGCAGGCGTACTCGCTGTCACCCATTGTGCTGTGTTCTGAAGCAGAGAGAAACACTTCCTGCCTCACATCTGAATTTCACACATCATCATGGTCCAGGGAAGTGCTCCACTGTGTTTTTAAACTACATACACCTTCCTAAGAACCATTTGGATCATTTCAGCCCTGGAATTGTCAATCTCTACTGAACAAAAATGTTAACTTTAGCTGATAACTTGAAAACTACTGATTCATGACATCACAAAGTGGAGCAGAAGCATTTTGAGCTGATGCAGACAGCTAAATAAAGTACTCAACACAACCCCAGGGATGTTTTTAATGAGGTAACAACATTCTAATGCGACTCAAAGCTCACAAGAGTCACTTTGGCATAAAACAGGACCTTTAAGAAAAATATATCTTTTGAATGGGAAAAAGTCCATCTTCACGGCAGCAGCAGAATCATCAGCCTCTCCATCTCTTTCTCTTCTTATTGTATTTCCAAGTCTTTACCTATCAGGGTCTAGGCGCCAAATTCACACTTCAAATTATTATTATTGTTATGCACCATTGTGAAAGATTGTGTTGTGTTTCTTGTAGGTTTGGAGTCATTTGTCAAAGTGGACATCAACGTTCAGGACATCAACGACAACAAGCCGGAGCTGATCGCCGAGGAGATTTATCTGTGTGAAAATGACAAAGCCAATACGGTAAGAACATACTGTAATGACAAACTATAAATATCACTGCATATGTTTACAAAGTGGTCATCAATTCTATGGCCATAAGTAATGTTAGAGTGTAAATGTAAGACTTTATTTTCATTAGTTTTTTTGCCATTATCTTCACTGTGTACTGTATAGAGCTTATGATTTTTTAAGAACAATGTATCTTAAAATTCATATAAATTGTAAAAATCTAAGCTATATTTGGTACTTTGGTTTAAAGACTTGAAATGACTTGAAGCTCAAAGCAGACGACTTGGACTTGACTCGGACTTATGGGCCAGTGACTCGAGACTCAACTTGGACTTGCCTGTATTTGACTTGGGACTTGACTCGGACTTGAGGTCAAAGACTTGAGACTTACTTGAGACTTGTAAAACAACGACTTGGTCCCACCTCTGAGAAAGACAACTCCGCTCACAGTCAGTGCCTGTTTTTCTAGGTATTTTTGAGCTATAAAACCACCTGTAATTGAATAAATGCAAGGTGGAGTAAAAGTATTAAAAGACCTGTTTAAAAATGAACTTTAGGAATAAAAAGTGTTGTGAATTTGTTCAAGTATTAAAACCCGAAGCTTGAACTCAAAATCTTTTGTCAGGATGTTATAACAAACATGGTAAAATAACTCCTAAAATCATGTCAAAAATAAATAACTATAATAACTTTACTTTTCAGAGCGGTTCAAAAACTGCTGCACACCCTGCCCCCACCCCCACTGGCTGAAGAAATGAAGGTTTTGGTGCCAGCCTTATTAAGAGCTTTGTTATTCATTTGATATTATTAAGAATGTTTTATTTTTCAAATAGTAGCTTTTAGAGCATTAGTGAATCATAGAATGTAGTAAAATAATTGTTATAGCACTTAGTGGCATCTTTATGATTTATATTAATATGATTTATCTGATTTTGCTTTTGTAACCTTGTATATGCAACAATGGACTGTGATAATACTGTGCACAGGAAGTTTGCAATATGCAAATTAGGTACAAAGTACTAGGGATGTCCCGATCAAATTTTTTTTGCCCCCGAGTCCGAGTCCTTTGATTTTGAGTATCTGCCGATACCAAGGCCCGATCCAGTACTTCTATAAAACATTATAAAATGAACTAAGAGCAAAGAATAAGATCCAGGATGTGTGGGGATCAGATTGTATTGATTTCATGTGTAGTATTTGGGCTGAACTTAGTGTGAAAAATCAACTGTCCAAAACTTTAATTTTATTAACTTTTCTAACCGTGCACCATCATTGTTGAAAATATTGACTTTTCACACAGTCTGGTCTTGGAATGTGTAACTTAGTAAACTTAATGAACTGAACAAAACAGGAACCAGACCAGAATCAGATCAGACCTGAGACTCGACTCTGCACAATCTACACTTTGTATATTTGATATTATATGGAAGCCTGTGCATTACATTTGAAACATTTAAGCTCGTCCATGAAATCCAAATAATACAAAATCTTACCAAATAAAAACGAGATGACAGAAGCCCCACAGCCTCTCCAACCCGGCCACCCCCACTCCCCCACACCACCACCACATCCACAAACCCACAGAGGAGCACGCGCCACAACATCGGTCCCACCGCTTTAATGCCACTTTTCCCACCCTCCCCACTAAAATCGCCAACTCCGTTGTGCAACATGCAAACAAACAGTGCCGTGTGACGACGCCATCGGCTGCGCAGGTGTGAACACGGGCCACAGAACCACAGGTAACAACGCCCGAGCACGACACGGCCCAAAAGTCCCAGTGCGAGTGCGCCTCTAGTACAGCAGGCGCTGGGACAGTTAGTCACGCTAAGTGGACGTGCCTGAGCAAATCCTGCGCCTCAGAAAAACTGTTGCGTCCTGCGTGCGCTGTGTGTTATATACGTATATATTATTTATCCGATACCTGATCAGACCATAACGGCTGAGTCCAGATCGAGTCCGCAGTCACGTGATCGGCACCGATTTCTGATCGGAAATCGGTGCCGATCACGTGACTCGGATCGGGACAACCCTACAAAGTACATGCACTCTGTACAGGATGCTTGCACCTTGCTAGGTGAGCGACTGGCCTCCAGAGCAAGGTATGTGGTTTTCGAAGCGTCCTCTATTCTTAGAATTGTACTTCTCAATAATGCTATGTGTGAAGACTGATCACTCTGCACGTGCTTGGGAGGAGCCCTGTGGGATCTACAGTATGAATATTATGTGAAATTCTCGGCAAATTTGGATCCTCCATCGCTTTCGGCATTGACCTCACTAGTGTATTCACTGCTAGTAAGCAGATCCCACATTTGAACTAGACAGCGCTCTGCAGCAGACCTAGTCACAGGGTAAATGCTCCTAAGGTAATTGCATAGTGATTTGTCCTAATTATTTTGACACAGTGAAACCTGAATAAAAAGCCCAAAAATAAGACAAAGACAAATCACTTGTTTGGATCCTTTGTTGAGTTTTCCCTTAATTCCATCTCTACAATGAGCAAGTTCAGCTAGACTAGGTGAGTGGCATAACATGATGCAATGTTGGAGGATATTTAATGCAATGTTTGATGCAATACTGAGGCTAGATAAATGTTTGATGCAATGATAAGAATAGGTAAAAGTCTTATGCAATGTTAAGATTAGGTGATTGTTTGATGTGATTTTAAGACTAGGTGAATTTTAGTGTAATGTCAAGGCTCTGGGAGGTAATGAGATGCAGGCCATATAGTTTTAGCCTGGGATTTTAACAAAAATGTAGTGGAGTAGAAAGTACAGATACTTGCTTTGAAATTTAGTGAAGTAAATGTAAAAAGTACCCACTGTCGAATATACTTAAAAAGACAGTCCATAATCTTGGACATAGGACCTCGTTTTCTAGTGAGCCAGAGTGTTGGAGACGTGTGGAGACACTTTTTATAATATTCCATCCAGTCCTTGTATTTGCAGAGGTCGCTGGTGCTAGGCTAGTGCATGTCAATGGCCATAGTTCTCCTGCCACTAAAAACAGTCTTACCCACTCCACAAAGCACCCGAAGCAAAATAATTATTATGCCAGACAGTCGATGTGAATGTCTGTGTTGATAGAATAATTTTAGAAGTAAAGTCAGCCTTGCATTTGAAGGATTTATGTCTGAGCATCAGCAGCGAGTTGTACTTCCTGATAGAAAACTTGGCAGTGGTGGACTGATATATGAGAAAATAGTCCCTCAACATGCAACGATTCATGTGATGCAAGGTTAGTTTTATTTCAAACATTATTCTATAAATGCAGACATTTACATGGACAGTCTGGCATAATAACAGATTTGCTTCGGGTGTTTTGTGGAGTGGGTAAGACTGTTTTAAGTGGCAGGATAACTATGGCCATTGACATGCACTAGCCTAGCACCAGCAACCTCTGCAAATACAAGGACTGGATGGAATATTTTAAAAGTGTCTCCACACGTCTCCAACACTCTGGCTCACTAGGAAATGAAGTCCGATGTCAAAAATTCTGGACTGTCCCTTTAAGTACAGTACAGATACCTTAAAATTCTACCTAAATACAGTACTTTTACTTTGTTACCTTCCATCAGGATATACTGTTATAGCGTGGTCTTTGCAAGTGAAATAAGGCTGACAGTTTCATTTGAGAATAACAGTTGAGCTGGTTATATGGTGATAATGAGCAGTGGGAATCATAAGTTTATACCTGTATTGTTATTTTAAAAGTTGGTTTCAAGCTGTCATGCAAGACAACAGACGCATATGGCACCTGAAATAAAGAGATTTTTTAAAATATATGTAACTTTTCTGATAGACAGCCTCCATTGAAGTGTAATTGTGTTGTCTAGAGCACTCAGTCCCATACTGAGTCCCTAAAAATTGTCAGGGGTTCCTGGAAAAGACGTCCAGACTAGACTGTGTGACGTTTAATGCAGGAATGGCAATTTCTATGCTCATATTAAAGCTGCACAGAGTAACTTTTCTGGTTGACTGCTTGTTTCCATGGAGATATTACTGTTATGTGTTGATTAGAGATGGGCATTTGATTAAATTTTCTTAATCGATCGTCGGGAGAATTAACGATCGATTATCGATTAATCATTAACGTTTTTTATATTAAAATTGATCATCATTATTATTACTATCTGCACTACTAATCTGCATAAATAAATTCAACTTTACGACATATAAACTGTAACCACTCTAGAGCCGCATCAGCCCATTTGACATTATAATGTGTTTAATGAAGCTTTGTGCAAGTCTCACAGAAACGAAACTTAAAACCACATGGCTCATTTGTATAAATTAAGCAAGAAAAAAACAGCTCTTGTGCGCTGATGCGGCACGACTCAGTGGAATACAGGTTAGTGTGACCATATTTGCATTTGTCAAAACCAGGACACCGTACGGGAGGTGGGAGGTGGCAACTCATCATCGACATTGCGCGACTCTCACCTGGCAAAGCTTTTTCCCACTGGACACCGAAACATATGTGCTGCTTTGTACACTGTGCACATGGCCTCACACTTGTCCCGAACGCAACGGAAAGCGTGAAATTTCTTGTACAAGTCATCGTTAAATACGCATTTGTGCTTCGGCACGTTGTAGACTGACCGACTGTTTGTCTCGCTCCTTCTGAGTGCAGAGAGACACATGTACAGACCCTGTTTGGTCACACTACACACAGCAACCTACATTCAGTTTGTCGATTAAAATGAACGTAATCGATGAAATTCAAAATGATCAATTATCGATTAATCGACTAAGCATGCCCATCCCTAGTGTTTATTATTCCACAGTATAAAAAATAGACTTGGTAATCACAATGGAAACAGGTTGATAGTCAGATCTATGGAAAAGGAAGTGTGGACATGATAAGACTTATGTTTTTTAACTCTAACAGACTTAAGGGCAATTTTAGTACATTTTTCCTCACCTGGATTTTTTTTTCTTAATTTTACTATTAAAATCCCCCCTTTTTCGCCCTAATGAAGTGTTACACATCTTTTTTTTCAGTACAACCTGTTATTTCACTATCTGCATGCTCCAGTTGTGTCATATGGCTGTAATAAAAGCTAAAAGGACCAGAAATACAAATGAAATAAAAACAAAAACAAAACACACAGCAAACATGTATAAAGAACTTTTTTAAACATTAAAAAAATGCTTAATTTAAGGCCTTAGCTACAAAAGTGCAAAATATCAAGTCTTTAAGTAAAATATCCTCGACCATTTTGACTCACTACGCTCTTTGGCAAAGCCCAATCAAAATGGACGGAGCGCGTGTGTTTGGCGGAAAACAAAGTTCCTATTGGACACTCGTTTTCCCAACGTCATAACGCAGCGTACATGTGGTGTAGGATAATGCCGGAAATGTGCCCGGAAAGCCACAACTCTCAAGGAGAAAAAGTAAGTTTCTATCTTTTACGGTTGAAAAGTTATGCGCAGTTATGTAAATGGATGAATTGTAAATGTTTTTTTGAGTTATAAAACATCTGTAATTGTACAAATGTGAGGGAGATATGTTTGATGTCCTACCGTGGAACATTCCAGACAAGGAAATAACATCCAGGTCCTTATAAGTTAGACAGTGCACATTGAAGTCATCAGTGTTTTTTTTTTTTAATCAGTACTACTCTGTAACATAGTATAAGGTCTCCAATGTATCCATGAGTAAAAAAGGGGTCATTGGGAGAAACGTTGAGAGGGACCTGACCTCCACCCACAGTGCTCCACCCAGAGGACCTCACATGACCTACCTCCATCCACAGGTCCCTAAAAGTAAACATACAGCGACCACGACGATGTTCAGACTGCAGCCTGAAGTGACCCAAATTTGCGACCCCCTATGTGACCTGTATCTGTTCTTTTAATGACAGTCTGAACGACACAGATCTGATTTTGGATATGTGCTCCTAAAACCGATACATATCCGATCATTTGACATGCGACTTCAGTCTGAACGGCCAGATCAAATTTATCCCACCTACACGTCAGTCTCGGAGTCTCGTCAATGGAGGGAAAGTGAGGTTAGCGAGTTGATTCATATTTAAGGGGATCGCTGTATTCAAGCCAAATTGTAGAAACCGAGCAGTTTGTGAAATGATTGCCAAAGAAATGTCCAAGCGCAGTACATGGGGTCCTGGCTCTAATGTCAATGAAAACAAAGAGCCTGTGAGCCAAATACAAGGAGGCTAAAGACTCAAGTAAACAAAGCAACTGTGGACATGTAACCTGTCCATTTTACCAAGAACCGGACCATATTTTGCGAGACAAGCCCAGCGTTTTGGCGATTTCCGTAAACACTGAGCACGCTCGCTGTGTGTGACGTCGTAGTGTCCTCCAATGTGCATGCAAAACGCTTTTGGGGTGTTTAAAGTTCACACTGGAGCTCACATACAAGTCACATTTAATAGGAAATGTGAATGACCTCGCAAAAAAACAGATTTCACAAAAAAATCTGAATTGAGCATTAAAGGGCCCATCTCATGTAAAATCAACTTTTCAGAGTTTTCTACCTTCTAAGAGTGATGTGTGGACCTTGTGTATGTGGTCGACGTGGATTTTTAGATTGACCCGGTGTTTTTTTAACAAATTGCAGCGTATTTCTGTCACCCTCCCCACATGACAATGAACTAAAGCTGCTACAACAATGACACAGGCAGCTTCAACTATGACGCGTTTGACGTAGCTGAAAGCACTTCACACCAGTCCCCCTCCCCCGCTCCACCGCCTCCGCCCCACCTCCACCTCACATCAGCTGACAATTCCCACATGAACACCTAGACAAAAGCGACAGCATAAGCTCATTGTTCTACACTGCAGTGAACACGATATAATAAGTTTATCTACTAGTGTTTATTCATACTTTACCAATCAGTAATGTTCAGCTGATGTCGACGCGGTGCTTGAGCTTCGTGTACCTCAAAGTCCTCGTCTGATTCCAGGTCCAACACATGCGGCTGAACGCGCTGTATCTCCATGATGAATAAAAGTTTATTTCTACCACTATCAGGGTGCACGTCTGTCTCCCCCTCCCTCCCTGAGATGGCGGAGGAAGGGCGGCTCACTCAGAGCCTACGTCACGTTTGGAGGGCGGAGCCTGTGCTTTCTCAGGACGGGCGGGGGGAGGAGCAATAGTCGGTCTTTCATAGTTCCTGGTCTGTGACGCCTCCAAGAAATCAGTAACATTTCATAACTATTGTGTAATGGATGTTCCAAAACCCAAATTGTGCTTGTTTATGTGCAGAAGATACAATGTGAAAAGAGTTATTTTGCATGAGACGGGCCCTTTAAGCCCTGCAGTCTGAACGTAGCCTAAGTCCGCTGTTTCCTGTTGCCAATGGTGCCAATGTAATGTCACAAAAGTTGACTTGTTGACATGTCCGAGTACAACCTGAAGCAGCTAGAGTACCACTAGCAGCACATGTATCATAGTCTGAGAAACACTCCTCTATAGTTTGCTTTATGAAATCAAACTTTCTGCATGAAAAAGCCAATGTTGAAATAAGCAGCCGGATAAAAACCACATCACATTTGGGACGACTTTCTCTTTTTTGCAGTACAGACTTAACTAAACAGACTTCTTAAATGTTCACAGTGATTATTTCTTTTAGTTCTTATAATCTCTGCTTGCATCGCTTGTGTATTCTTGACCTGACAGCTTATATTTGAAACAGTGTGAGGTGAGTTTAGGTCAGCGAACAGAACTTCAGACATTCTACACTGTGTACTTTGGCCCACGGTGTCTTTAATGTGACACCAGGACACCAGCATCTGAAACTCATGCTAATTAATGCATAGGCTGTTTCCCCCCTGTGGACTCTATACAGTACACACACACACACACACACACACACACACACACACACACACACACACACACACAGAGACAGAGACACACACACATACTTGGCTGTCACTGCTGGTTCCAGTTCGTCTGGCAGTGTGCAGAGGGACTTGTAGTTTTTATATGTTCTGACCTCCCCCCCCTCTCTCTCTCTTTCTTTCTCCTTCTTCTCTGTCTTTCTCTTCTCCTCTGGCTCACTCCTCCATCCCTCAGCTCTGCTCTTATCTTCTGTTCATTTCCTCGTTCTCCGTTCCTCTCCCTGAACTTTCTGTCTTCCCCCCTCTTTCTCGCTCTTTTTCTCCCTCTTTTTCTCTCACTCTCCCCCTCTCTCCCACTCTCTTTGTCTCTCTGTTTTTTCTATTTCTATCCTCTCTTTCCTCCTCTCTCTTTCTCTGTCTCTCCCTCTCTCTTTGGATCTCTAACTCTCCTATTCCTATCTCTCTTTCCCTTTCCCCTCTCTCTCTTACTCCCTGTCTCTCTTCTCTCTCCCTCCCCTCTCTCTCTTTCTCCTTCTCTTTCTCTCCCTCTCTCTTTGTCTCTCCTGTTCCTATCCTCTCTTTTTGCCCCCTCCTCTCCCTCTCTTTCTCTCTCTCTCTCTCTCTCTCTCTCCCGTTCCTATTCTCTCTTTCGTCCTCTCTCTTTCTCCGTCTCTCCCTCTCTCTTTGGATCGCTACCTCTCCTATTCCTATCCTCACTTTCCTTTTCCCTCTTTCTCTCTCTCTCTCCCTCCCTTCTCTCTTTCTCTTCCTCTCTGTTTCTATCTCTCCCCCTCTCTTTGTCTCTCCTGTTTCTGTTCTCTCTTCCCCCCCTCTCTTTTTTTCTCCTCTCTCTTTCCCTCTTTCGCGCTCCTTCCCCTTTCTCGCTCTTTTTCTCCCTCTTTTTCTCTCACTCTCCCCTCTCTCCCCCTCTCTTTGTCTCTCCTGTTTCTGTCATCTCTCCCCCCCTCTTTTTTCTGGTTTGTCCCGGTCTGGCTCGTCTCTTCTCTCCTCTGGGACACTGTCCTCAGACTCTGGACCAAACTCTGACCGTCAGGATCTTTGTGCTTCTGGACCCAAGTTTTCAGTTCTTTTCTTTAACGAACTCTGCCCACCCCCTGAGCTCTCGTTAAAGACGGCGGGGACACTGTTTAAAGGCCACACTCCTCTATTTTCTGATCTGGGTTATACTGTCGTCCCTGCTGCCTCCCCTCTCTCTCTTCTCTCTCTCTCTTTCTCTCTCTCCACACCTTTAATCTCTCTCTCTCTGTGTTGGTGTTGTTCAGGTGCTGGGGACCCTGAGAGCCACAGATAAAGACGAACATCCTGCCAGGTTCAGCTTCACCCTGGCCAGTCCCAGCTCCAACTTCACCGTCCGGGACCACGGAA